CGCCCTTAGCTGGCATCTGGGAACATGGATTTCTGGAATGTTCCTACTATTAACCCATTATAAGTGGCTCACAGTATCTAAATTGTTTGTACAAACAATATAATTTCTGCAAACCCCTGCTTTTCCTCTAAGAATCCGAAATTTGGGTATATGCCAGACAGAGGGTTCCTGTATGATCAGACCCCAGTGAAAACCTTGGGTGTTCAGTCTCTAACGAACTTTCCTGTTGGCAACATTTCCTATTCGTCACAGCTTTTTTCTTGAGAAATTAAGCACATCTTGTGTGACTCCACTGGAAAAGAAATCTTAGAAGCTTACATCTGGTTTACCGGGGACTGAGCCCCATGGACCTTTTCTGTTTGCTGGTTATGCTTTTTATCCTTTCACTATAATAAATCGTAACCATGTGTATGACTACATGCTGAGTCCTGTGAGTTCTAAAGACTTGCCAAAACTCAGAATGGTCTTGAGGACTCCCAACATAATCTCCTAATCTACTTCTACAAGAATCACTTAATTTGAGGATTAGTTGTTAGCATCTCAAGATGGGAAATGACTTCTAAACGCATTACTAATGAAAATTTTAGGAATTCTGTCAAACAAATCTACAACAATTGATTATAATTGTAACTTGTGATTTTGATTACAGTGGTATAACCAATATTACAAAGCATTGGCAGGAAATTATATTTCAGTTGTTGTCAGGATGTTATCCAAAATGACATCTGAGTCATTGTAGAGTGCCCTCTGTATTAGGCAGGAACCCAGGGCAAAATTCAGATCTCTTTTGCCTAAATTAGGGTTACCTTGAAGTATATGTTTTGCTTGTATATTACAGTGACTCTTAACGACTGCTTGAGGGTTTTAGGGTTTTTTTTTTTTAACTTTAGAAAACTAACAGTTAAATTGCAACCCAATCTCATCTACTGTACAAGAATGTATCCTATACTTATTTCTCTGCACTAAGCTCATTTTAGCTATTGTATTTTCTGACTGGTAATTTGGGGTTTTTTTTTGTTTTGTTTTGTTTTGTTTTGTTTTGTTTTGTTTTTAGAGAGAGAGCATGCACAAGTGTTGGGGAGGGGCAGGGGCAAGGGAGTCAGAGAATCTTAGGCAGGCTCCACGTCCAGTATGGAGCCTGACACAGGGCTCAATCTCAAGACCCCGAGATCATGACCTGAGCAGAAATCAGGAGTCAGATGCTTAACCAACTGAGCCGCCCTGGCTCCCCTACTTGCATTTTTAATGTGTCCTAACTTTCTCAGTATTTTTCTCTTTTACTGCTTGTATTGTTGCCATATGTTTCAAAACTTTTCAGATGAGCCATACTGGAAGGAAGAAAAGGAGTACTGAATCGGTAACATCTGAAAAAAGAATAGTGGGAAAAAAGAGGTAAACAGTTAATACAGAAAAATGAGAATGAAAGAGTGAGAATTCTAGGGGCGAAGCACTTTTAAAATCAAGGCAGTATGTTGGAAGTTTCAATTCCTTTAAATAAATGTGGCTATTTTGCCTTCTTTCCTCATAAATCTGATACTTAAGTTAACTCGTCTCAGTAGCTGAATATATGAAAACACTGGGGTTTTGCTTGATGAGTTCAGGGGCAATTTATTCCCTTTTGGAAACTAAAAGCTCGTTAATATCTTTTCAACTTAAGAATAAGTTTTCTTTTTCCCAAAAGTTTACATTTAAAAGCAAGTGTTTAAGACTTGAAACACATTTTCCCACGGAAAAGTTATTACAGTGGTTAACTGTCAGGCCATCCCAGTGAACTCTTTAAACTTATAAAAAGTCAAAGTAGACATTTGCAATGAACATAGTATAAAACTGTATTATGGAAAAAAAAAAAAAGCCCTTGCCTTTCAAATGCAAAAGTTAAATTTCCACATGCAGTTTAAATGTATTCTAATCAGATCCATTACTACAGTGTCTGAGCCAGGACCTCGCTTTGGGACTCTTTGCATAACCACTGCAAATGGAGAGGGAAGAATGAACTTGGGTGGGTGGGACATGGAGAGACCCTGTGCACAGTCTGGGAAGGTAAGTATGTTGTATTTACCCAGATTGGTTTCTACTCTGATTTCTGGGGGTAAAATGAAGTTGGTACCCCACAAGATAGAAAAGGGATGGAAAGGGGATTTGGGCTTCTCAGAATCCCAGAATCATTAATATGCTACTATCCATAGGGTGGGTAATAGGGTATATCTCTGGGCAGCTGGTAAGCATGAATGACCATCTGGATAACTCTTTAAGCAGGTGGGTTCTGAGTACCACAGGTGGGCAGCAACAGGCGTCAGACCCGGGCCCCTCTTAGCAGTGTGCTTCCCAGCAGAGGAGAAAGAAACAAAATGGATTCACATAGGGGACCTGTGGAAATGCCAACAGTGTGAAGAAGATATAAATTTCCAACACGGAAGATCAGAAGAGGAAACAAAGGTATGACGTGTATCTTGTAGCAGTGCTAGCCAAAATGTTAGACCCAACTGCGCTCACCATTTCTAAAGCATCGCTAGGCCTACGTTTGACGTATTTCAAGTTTGTCTATCTTGGTCTGGGGAGGCACTTCACAAATAATCCTGCTTCTGAACACTACACATTTGTTATTCATTCTGCAACTGGAAGCCTGTATCTTCCAGGCATCTTCACCCATTTTGCCCACGCCCCCCCCCAACTCCCTTCCTCTCTGGCAACCATCAGATTGTTCCCTGTATTCACAGGTCTGATTCTGCTATTGTTTGTTTTTTAGATTCCACACAAGTGAAATGATATATTTGTCTGTCTTAATCTGACTTACTTCACTTAGCGTAACATCCTCTAGATCTATCCACATTGTCACAAATGGCAAAGTCTCCTTGTTATGGCTGCATACTCGTGTGGGTGTGTGTACACACCACATCTTTCTTATCCATTCATCTATTGATGGACCCTTGGGTTGCTTCCATATCTTTATCGTAAACAGTCTTGCAATAAACATATGGGTACATGTTTTCAAATTAGTGTTTTCATTTTCTTTGGGTAAATACCTAGGAGTGAAATTATTGGACCATGTGGTGTTCCTAGTTTACATTTTTTGAGGAATTTCCGTACTGTTTTCCACAGTGGCCTTCCCAATTTGCATTCCTACCAACAGTGTATGAGGCTGCCTTTTTCTCCACATCTTTGTCACTTGTTATTCCTTGTCTTTTGATTTTAGCCATTCTGACAGGTGTAAGGTGATACCTCATTGTGATTTTGATTTACATTTCCTTGGTGACTAGTGATTTTGAGCATTTTCTCATATGTCTGCTGGCTGGAAGATGAGAGGGATTTATGACGCAAACTGGGTATGGCTTAGGATGCTTCTGCCCAGATTTCACTGGCTACAGCCCAATCATGAAGTCCTTACCTTACTGCAAGGAAGGCTGGAAAATGAGTCTTCCTGTGGGGCCCAAACAGAGGAAATGGATGACATTCCACCAATTTTGCCAATATCTTTATGTACTCTAACTTTATTTCAAAGGATTTATTTCTGGACTATGAAATTTCTATATCGTGTGTCATCACTTTGCATAATGACCATAAAAACTCCTATTTCTTCAGCAGAGTAATAATATTTGGCACCATATTTGCTTTTTGAAATCTCCCCTCTTAGAGAAGAGTAGAAACTGAGAGTCAGCAGGGTCCTGGTTTAACTTCCACCAAAAAGAAGCATTCTCACTGTGCAACTAGGAAGGGCAAAGAAACCAAGCAGCCTTTATTTCATTACGCATGTTGACAGATGGCGGAAATGGCGCTCACGGTGGCCCCCAGGTATGTCCTGCATTTTGCAGAGATTATTGGCTGTGGTTTTCCCTGACATTCTTGCACCACTGGATTTCTAAAAGCCAGCAAGAATTTCTAGTGACTTTTTCCTTCAGTCTGACCCGTTAGTGAGCATCTCATTTCTTGTATAAAATCTCTTCCTACTCGAAATATTTAAAGCAATTTTTTCTCCAGACCAAGACTAACTTATATATCAACCTAGCATTTGTCTTTAGTGACCCATTTTTCTCCAAATATAATTTTTTAGTTCTTGTATTTCAAATATATGTGTTGTATGTTATAGCTATGGAGTGGCTACCTGCCTCAGCCTTAATGAACATAAATATTCTATAAAACTTCTAGTTTTTATATTTTAAAGGCATTAATCCATCTGGAATTTATTTTTGCCTATGTTGTGAGTGCTAGTATAATTTATTAAATAAATCACATTTCCCCACCCAACTGAGATACATCCCTGTCCCAAGTGGCTGGATCGGTTTCTAGACCACCTAGTCTATTCCAGTGATTTATTTGTTTATTTCTAAGCAATGCCATATAGTATTCTTTGCTGTGGTTCTGTAAAATAGTTTAATAACTAGTTTATAAATTTAAATTCAATGGAAACCATCTAACACAATAATTAGTGCTACTAGATTAACTCATTTATATAAAGAACTCAAGATAAATCATATTGTTCTATCTCCGTGCATGTATTTGAACTTCCCACAAATATTAATAAGAGTAACAACTAAGTGCTTGGGTAATAGAAGGCAGCAATGGTCAGTCCTAACCTGATCCAAATGCATGAGAAGGAGCAGGCTCAGTCTTCTCACTGATTGCTGTTCTCTTCAGTGAATATTAAAATATTAAAATTTGATTTTATTAAATATGTATTTTATTAAAAATAAAAAATTAAGAGTATTAAAAAATTGAATTTGTAATGTTATTGCAATCAAATGCTACTTTTAAAGTTTATATATAGCTTATATATAGGACTCCATAAGAGATTCTGTTTATAAAATGGGTACAGTTATTGCTAAGTTTTAAAATTATTGGTCTGACACATAAACTTGTGTTGCCTCCAATATCAATCATTCAACTGTTTGTCTGATTTTTTTATTGAGATAAAATTTATATAACATAGAATTCACCCTTTAGAGCGTTCAATTCAGCAGCTTTTAGTACATTCAAAAAGTTTTGCATTGATCACCACTATCTAATTCCTGTTTGTCTAATTTTTTTATTATTAAAAAATGGAAAAACAAAAGTACAATTTTCATTCAATAAATACCATTTGACCCTTATACAGTTTTGTTACAGGAGGTGAAGTCCATGATTTTAGGATGATGGTAGTAATTTATCAGCCAAGTAATCAGTTTTCACACAGTTTCTATAACTGCAGCAATTTCCTTGAACTGTCTGTAGAAATTCTGGAGAGAAAAAGGAAAAATAATACTAACTTAGCTTTTAAAGGATATGTAAGTAATTCTTTAACTTATTACACCTGACCATTAAAGACCATATGACATATTAAATTTGTTATGTTAAGTTTATATCACTATTATTATTGGAAAGCTATATTAAAAAAAAATGGGTACAATTTGGTACCACAAGCACAAATACTATTATAGAGTTGGATTATTATCTCACAACTAAAATATTTAAAATCACACACAAAAAAGTTATTTTGAGATCATACCAGAAAGAGTTATTAAATACCCAACACTGTACGAGGCAATGAAGATAAAAACAAAAACAACAGTTTGGGGGGCACCTGGCTGGCTTAGTTGGTAGTGTGCAGTTTTTTTTTTTTAAAGATTTTATTTTTGTACTGATTTTAGAGAGGGAGAGCAGGTGGAGGGGCAGAAGGGAAGGCAGAGGGACAAGCAGACTCTGTGCTGAGCATGGAGCCTGATATGGGGCTCAATCTCATGACCATGAGATCATGACCTGAGCAGAAATCAGGAGGCAGATACTCAAGCGACTGAGCCACCCAGGCACACACAACGTGCAGCTCTTAAAAAAAAAAATAAAAATAAAAAATAAAATCAATTTCCAGGCTTTAAACCACTTTAAATCTAGTGAAAGACTTTTTCAGGATGAAAGATACGGGTTTTTAAGATACGGGTTTATTAGTTACAGTAAGAAAGACCCAATACTAGGGCGCCTGGGTGGCTCAGTAGGTTAGCGTCTGCCTTTGGCTCTGATCATGGTCCTGAGTCCTAGGATAGCGCCTGAAGTTAAGCTCCCTGCCTGGCGAGGAGCCTCCTTCTTCCTCTTCTCTCCATTCATGCTCTCTGTCACTATTTCTGTCTCTCTCTCAAATAAATTTTTAAAAATCTTAAAAGAAAAAAAAAAAAGACCCAACACTGACAATGACTTATATAGTAAAAGGATAGTTTCCTTTCATTTAAAAATTAGCTGGTATGTTTGTTCTCCTATAAAAATCATCTTTTTTTCCATCTCCCAAATCTCCAAGAGAGGAAGTAAACAAATTCTGTTTTCCTTTCTTCTCTACCTGCTAGGAACTAGGAGGCAAATCTGAAACTTAACCTCAGCAATTAGGATATGCTCTAATGATTTACATATCTGCATTTCCTTCTTATTTGGTCTTAATTCTCTTTGCTACTTAAAAGTTATATATATTTCATTTTAGTTTATATGTAATGAAGCCAGATGTAAAAACTATTTCTTTAAGACTATATACTGACGGTCAAAATCTCAGCTACAAGAAAGATACAAATTAAAAGCTCAAAAAAGTTCCTATTCTCTCAGTCCTGCTCTGTTCTTGGTTAAAAGCCATGTAAAAACAACCTTTAAAAAATGTGTCCCATTTGTGATTCTTTTCTATAGGAAAAAAAAAAATTCTTAGAGGTAGAATCAGAGAGCATGAATGCTATATAAAAAAAAATAAGTATTGGGCCAAGATTGTGAATTATATGAAGGAATGAAAACTATTGTTGTTTTTTTTAAGATTTATTTATTTATTTATTTGACAGAGATCACAAGTAGGCAGAGAGGCAGGCAGAGAGAGGGGAAGGGAAGCAGACTCCCTGCCTAGCAGAGAGCCAGATGCAGAGCTTAATCCCAGGACCCTGGGACCATGACCTGAGCTGAAGACAGAGGCTTTAACCCACTGAGCTACCCAGGCGCCCCATGAAACCTGTTTGTTTTTTTTTTTAATTGATTTGGTCCTTATATTCAATTGAACGCTATTTACATATCATATTATACTATATTTCCTTTTAGACAAGTCTTAATTCTTTCCAGGATGCTACTTAGCATAATAATGTTGAATCTGTGACCATAGGTTTTTGTTTGAAAGTAGCAGTATCTATTTTAAAAGAAAGAAATCAAAGGGAACAAAAACCCTTAAAATGTAATTTGTAAAACATAACTACCATATGATCCAGCAATCCTACTTCTGGGTATATATTCAAAGAAAATAAAATCACTACCTCAAAAAGGTATCTGCACTCCCAAGTTCTTTGCAGCATTACTCACAGTAACTAAAGTATGGAAACAACCTAACTGTATTTTGACAGATGAAAGCATTTAAAAATGTGGTGTGTGTCTGTATATATATACACACACAACAGAATACCATTCATCCTTAAAAAGAAAGAAATCCTGATATTTTTGACAACATGAATGAACTAGGAGGACATTATGCTAAATGAAATAAGCCAAACACAGACAGATAAATATTGTATGGTCTCACTTATCTGTGGGACCTAAAAAGTAGAACTCTTGGTTACAACAGAGTAGACTGTGGTTACCAGGGTTGGGGAGTAAGAGAAATGAGGAAATGTTGGTTCATAAGTACAAACTTTCAGTTATAAGATGTATAAGTTCTGGAGACCTAATGTATAGTATGGTGACTATAGTTAATAATAATGTATTGTGGAGTGGCTGCAGCCACTCTGGAAAACAGCATGAAGGTTCCTCAAAAAGTTGAAAATAGAGCTACCCTACGACCCAGCAATCACACTACTGGGTATTTACCCCAAAGATGCAAATGTAGTGATCCGAAGGGACACCTGCACATCAATGTTTATAGCAGCAATGTCTACAACAGCCAAACTAAGGAAGGAGCCCAGATGTCCATCAACAGATGAATGGATAAAGACAATGTGGTTCATATATATACATCAAAAAATGAAATCTTGCCATTTGCAACAACATGGATGGAACTCTAGAGGGTATTATGCTAAATGAAATAAATCAACCAGAGAAAGATAAATATCCTATGATCTCACTGATACACGGAATTTGAGAAAAGAGGCAAAGGATCATAAGGGAAGAGAGGAAAAAACGAAACAAGATGAAACCAGAGAGGGAGACAAACCATTAAGGGACTCAATCTCGGGAAACAACGTGAGGGTTGCTGGAATGGAGGGGGGTGGGAGGGATGGGGTGTCTGGGTGATAGACATTGGGGAGGTATGTGTTTTGGTGAGCGCTCTATATTGTGTAAGACTGATGAATCACAGACCTTACCCTGAAACAAATAATACATTATATGTTAATAATAAAAACAATAATGTATTGTGTACTTGAAATTTGCTAAGAGAGTAGACACACCACACAGACACATATAAAAGGTAGCCATACAAGGTGATGGATTATGTTAATTAACTTAATTGTGGTAACCATTTCACAATGCACACGTAATACCAAAACATCACATCATATACCTTAAATATATATAATTTTTATTTGTCAGCTATACCTCAATAAAGCTAAGGAAACGGTGTAGACTGTAAAAGAAATCAAAAGCATCCTTTGGCCCATGAGAAGCTTTTCTTAAGAAGGAAGCATAGAACCAGCATATTTTCAGTTTTACAAAGAATTCTCATTATATTTCCATTGCATTCACTTGGTGGTTGTTGTTTTTAGAGTACTTTTTCTTAGAGTACTAACTACTGTGGGGAGTCTTAAGTATTCAAGCAATCAAAACAAACAAAAACAAAACTCTAAGGCCAATTAAAGTAGTCAATGATAAAACATTTCCTTGAATATATCTTAAAGAAAATCTAATTTTTCACTCATCCCCTTTTTTTCTTCCTTGCTTACAGAAAAGAGGTACAAATGATCATATGAATAAGATGATTCTACATATAAACTATTGAGTTACTCAAATCTCTAGCTGATAAAACTATCATCAAGTACTGGTACGCTGATCAGAATTTTATAAACATTGTTAGTCAGAAAATTCAGGGTCAACACTGTTCAAAGATAAGATTCATTTAGCTATCATTCTCAAATATTAAGCCTAAAAAGAATAAAAGTAGAACAGTTAAATGCAAAGTTCATCTTCCTGCCAAAGAAGATGAAAATTCCCTAAATATATTCACAGAGGAGTACTGTGAAAGTGATCAAATATGACAGTACACCAGTTCAGCATTATATTGAAAATAGTGAAATTTATCAAATTCCCAAAGAAAACAAGTTCAGATATTTTTTGTGTACTAATAAATATAAAGCACATCAAAACAAAGTAAAAACAATTACAATTTTCCTTAAAAAAGATTTTAGACATTTTAAAGTAGCAATTACAGAACAATGAACTACAACTGAATGAGTAAAATCACAAACCTGAAATTGTGGAATTGTCATTTCAAAGGACTTGTTCTTTACTTGGCCTGAATGATCTGCCACTTTCAGCAACACTGCAACATAAGGATACTTAAGAGATCTGCAACTGTCCGAGCTCACAGCCATACCCAGCTTCCACTGAAAATCTACAAGCTGTAATAAAACATTATAGAACAATACATGGGTAATAACACTGCCATGAATGCAGATATTTATTCAATTTTACTGCTCTCACACTCAACTTTTAGTTTCAATGCCAGTCACAGTAAAAGAAAATATCTTCATTTTAATATTGCTAGGGGAACAATAATCAAATGAAAATGGAGAGAGGCAATATGGGATAGAAACAGAGTTGGAAAACAACACCGTCATCATTACAATAAAACACACACACATCCATCTTTACCAGATGTACGATGGAAGTAGAAGATGTGGTACGACTTCTGGTTTTCCCTTCATTTTGCTCCTGCATTTAATGGGACCACAGATGCTTTGTAGCCTCTCTCACCTCATTCTCCTGTTCCATATATGCTTTATCCCATTCCACGACCCAAAATCCTAAAATGGAAGATGAGCTACATACCCATCTTCATATGTGACTGGGACCCCCTGGGAACCATTCCAGTTCCCTTGCTCACCATGGTCCTCGACCTGAAGCCATACATGAGCATAAGCACTTGGTGACAAGGTAGTTTTAGATTTCAACACTGTTAATGATGAACACCTGTCAGGTGATGTGCTATGTAGTTTATATGTATTAAATGCCTCATTGAATCATCATAACATTATAGGCTATTATTTCCATTTTGCGGATGACAAGACTAAATTTCAGAGAGCTTAGATAATGTGTGCAAGGTCACACATTTCTGTGATCAGAACTGAAACCAAAGTCTGCTTGACTCCAAAGATTATATGCTTATTGACTACTGGCTGCCTTAATACTTTTAATCTAATTTCTGTTGGTGATCGCTCGGTGTTCTGGGCATAAAACAGGATTGGATAAATGCAGCTCTTAATACTGACTAAAACCTAAGATGGTGAGTAGAAGGATTTTGTTTCTTGTTTTCAAAGCTTTAACAAGTAAATGGTACACAGCAGGCACTTACAAAAAATACTTGCTGATAGATTGATACTTTTTGCTATCAAATGAGTGCTGATAGGGCAAAAAGCTTTGCTTATAAATAAACCTCTTTTTATAAAACTTAGGATGTTTTATAAACAAGACTCATCTATATACTGCCCACAAGAGACATGCTAATACACTACAAATGAAGGGATGGAAAAGGTATTCCATGCAAATGGAAACCAAAGAAAGCTGGGGTAGCTATACTTAATATCTGACAAAATAGACTTTAAAATGACTGTGATAAGAAACATAAAAGCAAATTACATAATGAAAAAGGGTTCAATCCAATAAGAAGATATAACGTGTAAATATTCATGCACCCAACATAGGAGCACCTAAATAGACAAAGCAAGTATTAACAGACCTAGAAGAAGAAACAGACAGCAGTACAATAATAGCAGAAGTCTTTAATACCACTCTTACATCAATGGATAGAACATCCAGAGAGAAAATCAATAAGGAAACATCAGCCTTAAACAGTATGTTAGAACAGATGGACTTAACAGATATTTACAGAACATTCCATCCAAAAGTGAGAGAATACACATTTTCCCAAGTACACATGGAACATTAGCCAAGACATATCATTTGTTAGGACAAAGAAAGTCTTAATGTAAGAGTACTGAAATCCTATCAAGCATCTTTTCTGACCACAATGGTATGAAACTAGACATTAATTACAAGGAGAAAAACAAGAAAATTCACAAATATGTGGAGACCTAACAACGTGCTACTGAATAATCAATGGGTCGAAGAAGAACTCAAAAGAGAAATTTAAAAAATACCTTGAGACAAAGGAAAATGAACATGTAATATAACAAAAGTTATGGGATACAGCAAAAGTTGTTCTCAGATGAAGTTCACAGCCATAAATGCCCACCTACCTCAAGAAACAAGAAAAGTCTTAACTAAACAAGCTAACTTTACACCTCAAGAAAATAGAGGGGAACCTCGGTGGCTCAGTCAGTCAAGCATCTGACTCAATTTCAGCTCAGGTCACGATCCCAGAACCCTAGGATCCAGACCTCCCTCAGCCAACCTGCATGGCTGGGAGTCTGCTTCTCCCCCTCCCTCTTCTCTCCAACCTCCCTTTCCCTCCCCACCCCCAGCTTGTGCTATCTCTCTCAAATAAATAAATAAGATCTTAAAAAAAAATTAGACACACAAATAAATGGAAAGATATCCTGTGTTCATGGATTGGAAGAATTAATGTTGTTAAAATATTGTCCATACTACTCAAAGCAATCAACAGATTCAAACCAACCCCTATCAAAAGTCCAAAGATATTCTCTACAGAAATAGAAAAAATCCAAATAGCCAAAGCAAATTCTGAGAAAGAACAAAGCTGGAGATGTCATGTTCTCTGGTTTCAAACTATGTTACAAAGTTATAATAATTTTTAAAGTATAGCACTAGCATGAAAAGAGACAGATAGATTAATGGAACACAATAGAGAGCCCCAAAATAAACCCATGCATATATGCTTAACTTATGACAAGGGAGGCAAGAATATACAGTGGTGAAAGGACAGTATCCTCAATAAATACTGGCAAACTGAACAGCCACATGCAAAAGAAGGAAACTTGACTACTATCCTTTTTTTTTTTTTTTAAGTTTTTATTTATTTATTTGACAGAGAGAGATCACAAGTAGACGGAGAGGCAGGCAGAGAGAGAGAGAGGGAAGCAGGCTCCCTGCTGAGCAGAGAGCCCGATGCAGGGACTCGATCCCAGGATCCTGAGATCATGACCTGAGCCGAAGGCAGTGGCTTAACCCACTGAGCCACCCAGGCACCCACTTGACTACTATCTTATACCATACACACAAATTTACTCAAAATGGATTAACGACTTGGAAGTAAGATCTGAAACCATAAAACTCCTAGAAGAAAATGTAGGCATAAGCTCCTTGGCGATGATTTTTCTAGAAATCTTGGTGATAGTTTTTTCAATATGACACCAAAAGCAAAAAAAAGCAAAAGTAAGCAAGTGGGACTACTTTAAACTCAAAGCTTCTGCACAGCAATATTCATAATAGTCCTAAATTGAAACCACCCAAATGTTCAGCAGTTGTAAGAAAGATAAATATGTACAGCAATGAGCTTCAGCTACACTAACACCAAAATGTTGAAAGAAACAAGTCAAAAGATACATGATTCCATTCACTTAAACTTGAGAAACAGGAAATACAATATTGTTTAAGGCTGCATACACAGGTAGGAAAACTGCATCTAGAGGCAAGAATGTGATTATCACCAAAGGATCATCATTACCTCCAGGGAGAAGAGAAGGGAGAGGTGTGATTGGGGAAGGGCATGTGGTGGGCTTCTGGGGTACCAGTAATATTCTAGTTCTTGAATTTGATTATGGTTACAAAGGTGTTCATTTTAAAAGTATTCATTAAGCTGGCCATGGTAATGCACTTCTTTTGCATATGTTATCTTGTAGATATCAGGTGGGGGGAGTGAATATAAATTACTGAATACAAAACACATTTCTGGTTGAAAAGAAAAACTTATTGTAGGCTACAGTGATCACAGGAATGCTTTATAGAGAACATAAGCTTTCAGCTCAGTTTTGAAGATTAAACAGAACTGAAATTGAGATGAGAATGTGTCTTCTTTATATATTCCAAAAATATACACCTAACAGAGTATAAATGGTTACTAAATATTAAGCTGAACCAACCAGAGATGGAGAGAGTCAATATCCGGTACAAGAGAGCATTTAACTGCCTTAAAGTGGACGGCTCCTCTAAGGAAGTATGGAAGATAAAGCTGAAGAAAAGTGATGAAGAAGCCAATAATTGTTTTCAAATTGTGGGTTTTCAGACGTTTTTAAAGTATTCTCATATACTTTATCTTATGGAAAATATGTTAAATCATTTAAACTTTTTCGGTATGCAATGGAGACTCACTGAATCTTTTTCAGTAAAGGCAAGGATATGAAAGTATTGATTAAAAAATATTCATCTGGTGGTGGCAGAATACAATAATCCAGGAATGAGGTTTTAAGTGCTGGAACTAAGGTGGTAACTAGCAGGATTAAACTGATCCTTAAAGAATGAATTAGTAGGTCCTGACGTTTTTCTTCACAATTATGGGAGATCAAAGACAACTATGCAAATCTGAGTACAGATGATAGGGAGAATGTTGATATCATGTTACCAATCAGACTTGGTATATTTAAAGATTAGCAAGTGGGGATACAGGATATTTAAATAGGAATGTTCAATAAGTGGCTAAAAATCCAAGAACAGAATCTAAGAGAGTTCATGATTAGAGATACAGTTTTTGTATTAGATTAATGGGGATATCTGAAAATTTAATTCAGAGTACTTCTTAGGCTTATTCAGCCTGTACAATTCTTTTCTTTTTTTTTTTTTTTAAGATTTATTTATCTGACAGATAGAGATCACAAGTAGACAGAGAGGCAGGAAGAGAGAGAGGAGGAAGCAGGCTCCCTGCTGAGCAGAGAGCCCGATGTGGGGCTGGATCCCAGGACCCTGAGATCATGACCTGAGCCAAAGGCAGAGGCTTTAACCCACTGAGCCTACACAATTTCTTGATGCTTTACTATCTACAGGAAAATAGTAGAGAAAATCATTACTTAGCTGACTCTGAGTCCAAAATAAAACTCTGGATTATTTAGAACATTTCAAACAGAAAATCAATAAAGGAACACAATGTTGGAATCCGCTGACAATGGTGAACTCTCAAGTGACAAAACAGGGAGAGCTACCATCCAGACACTCACTGTGCAAAATGAATACTCATAAATAAAAGAAAGATGGGATTCAGTTTATGATTCTAAAACTGAACACACAAATGCTAATTAAAAGCAAATTTTCTAATGAACGTGGTTTAGCCTTAACTAGGAATAACTGCACTGGAGATTTTAACAAGAAAAGAATAAAAGAAAAATCAGAACAGAGCACACATCATTATGGAGGATATTAAGAATGAAATAATACAGTCTCTAAACTATTGTAGAATTAAGAAAAGGAAAATGTACAAAGAAAAAAAAAAAAAACTAGTAGTGAAAAAGCATAAAAACATCCCCAAGTAAAACGAATAGAAAGAGGGACACCTGGGTGGCTTGGTCAGTTAAGTGTCTGCCTTCGGCTCAGGTCATAATTCCAGAGTCCTGGAATTGAGTCTCGAGTTGGTGTCCTTGCTCAGGGGGGAGGCTGTTTCTCCCTCTGCCTGCCCCTCTCTCTCACACTCTCTCTGGCAAATAAATATATAAAATCTTAAAAAAAAAATACAAGAAAAGTAATCTCGAAACAAATATAGATTAAAAGAAAAACAAAGAAATTAGTTATAGTCAGTCACAATTTTAGTGTGACTAAAAATTTAATTGATCTAGGGGCTCCTGGGTGGCTGGGTTGAGTGTCTGACTTCAGCTCAGGTCATGATCTCAGGGTCCTGGGACAGAGCTCCATGTCCATCCAGTTCCACACTCAGCAGGGAGTCTGTTTCTCCCTCATCCTGTGCCCTTTCCCCTACTTGTTCACGTGCACATGCGTGCGTGCACACACACACACACACACACACACACACTCTCTTTCTCTCAAATAAAATCTTTTAAAAAATAATTGATAGGTAGCTGCAGTTATTAATGTAAAAACATCATATAAAAACTATAAAGAAAAATACTGATAAACACCACTTCAGTTTAAGTTTACATTTCAGTTTAAATTTAACTTATTTTTTTCAAAATACAACATATAATATTAGAAAAGCAATCATGCATTACTCTATCTTAACTACTATTTTCTTATTTCTAGTCTTTGTATGTATTTTTTATAGCTGGAGTCATAAAATATATACTTTTGTGTTCTCTCCTTTTTAAAATGAAAGTCTGCCAATGGAAGGAACGTAAAGTATTCTCCACACATTAACCTCTCTCAAAAGTAACTATGAGGAAAATACAGACCAAATAACTCACCCAACAAAACCTGTATAGTTGCTATTCCAACCCTAATCAGTCTGATTCCATATTCTATGCAATTTTCATTATACCTAGCTGCAACATTACTATTTGGAGTTAAAGTAAGTTCTAGTAGGTCAAAAAGTAAACAGGCCTAGGATGGCATGAGAGTGTCATCTTCTACATGCTAGACTCGAGCTGTCCAATACAGTAGCCATTACCCAAATGTGACTATTTAAATAAATAAAAAATTTCACTTCCTCGGTTGCACTAGTCATATTTCAAGAGCTCCAGAGTACATCTTCACATATTTCAAGTGGTGTCCAGTGCTCCCATACTGGACAGTGCCAACAGGGAACATTTCCACCATCACAGAAAATTCTATTGGACAGCGCTATGCTATACTTTGTGTGTGAAAATTGATTAAGGCATAAGTTATTAGCAAATTTCTACTTGAGAAGTCATATTACTCTAGTCCAAGTATACAACATTTGCTAAGTTATTAGCCTGCCTTACCTTGTTTGATACCCTCCTCCATTCTCTGCTTTTTAATTTTCTCAATAGCACTCATCATTATCTGAAATTATCATGTTTACTTATTACCTGTACCCCAAGGAAATTCAAACTTCCTAAGAGGAAGAGCATTATCCATCTAGTTTATTACTGAATCTACTACAACAATACTTGGTACAAAGTGAATGTTCAAATAAATATTTGTTGAACTAATATGTTTATAACTTCTGGAGCTTGTGGTAACTGGTCTCCAAAGATAGATTCCAACAAATAGTGTCACCCCTCCCTGTACATACATGTCACTCTTCACATTAAGTGGAGCTTATTTTCCCTCTGCACCAATACGAGCTGTCCCTGTGATTGCTCTGACCAGCAGAATATGGCAGAAGAGGCTTTCTGGAATCCTTGAGCCCAGGCCTTAGGAGAAATTGAAGTGTCTGCCTCTTTCTTTATGCAATGCTGGCTCTTGGGACTTTCCCTCTTGAAACCCAGCTACCTTAAGGTGAACAGCCATGTAGGGAAAAGAAGCAAGCCACTCCAACGATCAGCTCTAGCTGAGCTCTTAGCCAACGTCATCACTAGCCATGTGGGTAAGCCCTCTGGGTTTCTGGCTCAATCAGGCTTCTAGATGACAAGGAGTAGAAGCTACCACCTAGCTAAGCCTGGATAACCCATGAGAGTCCTGAAAGATCACTCAACTGTTATTTCAAGTCACTAAGTTTTGCATAGTTTATTACACAGCCAATACATAACTAAAGCGGATAAACATAACTGGCTGAAAATAATTTTGTCAATAAATTTAACATATGACATCAAAAACGTACTCTCTTAACTGTTTAAATTGAAATATACCAGGTTCTAGAAATTTTAGCAAAAACTAAAAGATATTTCAGATTTAGTTTGTTTAACCTGTTACCTCTGAGAGATGCTAATACTTCTAATAAAAGACAGAAACAATAAAGCCTTTCCCAATAAAGACATTCACTACGAAAAAATTCATAGTACATATGCCCTCTAACACAGACATATATCATCTTCCCTCAAAAATGTTTCTCATCCTCATTTCATTTCTACTGATGACCCCCGTTCCCTCAGTGACACAGGTTTGAAAAGTTGGTCAACTTTGATTTTTCTCAAAATATGTAACAACTGATAGGCATTCAAGATTTTATTTTAGACAGTGCCAATGTTTATTCCTTTCTTCCCAATTTCATTGCCCCAGACCTACACAAATACCCTTTTTGTTTTTAAATCTTATTTTAAATTTTACTGCAGCCTCTTAATTAGTTTCTTGCCTAGGTCTTTGTTGGCTCTAATCCAGACTATGGTCTCTAAATACTGTTTATAGATTAACCAAATCTAATATCACAGGTCAAAACTTGTAAAGTTTACTGGCTCATGAGGTAGATACCAAGTACCTGAGTTATCTTGCAGCACAGACTCCATTTTCCCACTCATCCTCAAACAGGACTGCATCCCTTCTTTAAATCTGCTTTCAGCCTTTATACCTTTGCTCACACTGCTCATTCCCCTTACAGTAGAATTCTCAAACATCTACTTAAAATTCCTCTCAAATTCTACTTGCTCTGTGAAGTCTTTCCTAGTTTACTCAAACTTTCTATGAATATTCACAGCATTTCTTACACCCGACCACCTAGAACATTCTGCCTTGTACAGGTGGATCTGTCTCCCACCCCCATATCCACTAAACTGTAAACTCCTTGAGGGCAGTTTATACATCCGACACATGTACATAGAAAAACAAACATAAGCATTTATAAACCACTATATAAAATGTACAAGTTTAAGTCACTATGTCTCATATATGGGAAAAGAAAAAACAGCACAAGATATTGTCAATGGAACATCTTACCTTTTTTTTTTTTTCAAAGTATTTATTTGAGAGAGAGAGGATGAGAGAGAGAGAGAGACAGCATGAGAGGGCCGAGGGTCAGAGGGAGAAGCAGACTTCCCACCGAGCAGCTTAGCACGATGCGGGACTTGGTCGGGAGACTCTAGGATCATGACCTGAGCCAAAGGCAGTCACTTAACCAACTGAGCCACCCAGGCACCCTGGAACATCTCACTTTTTACTTCTACCATAAAACTGGCAAGGAAAGCAATAACAGTGGTAGCGGTAGGAATAATCATTCATCTATGATGATGCATTCTAGTTAGACATCTGTAAGAAATCACAAGCTACTTCAAAACAATGATTGTAAGTATCAGAACCGTGTAGTAATGAGTAACCTGAGACATCTGGTGCTGGGTAAGATAGCACTATGATTTGTTCAATGTAACAAGCTCAAATTCTGAAGTCAGACCACCTGATTTGAATCTCAGCTCCCCTACCTTTTAACTATGTGGCCATGGACAAGTCACAATATGCTTCAATATTCAATAAAAATTTACTAAAGAATACTGTGGTCTAGGCATTGGGGATATAAAAAAAAAGAATTAAAAAAAGTTCCTGACCTCAGGCCTCAGGACCTTACCTTCTAGTGGGGAAGACAAATAATAAACAAATATAAAAAGTGTAAAAAAAAAAAAAAAAAAAAGCAGGGTAAGGGATAGAGTGACCAGGAAGGCTAGTTAGGTAGAATCTGGGAGAGACTTCTTTGAGGAGTGCCTTCTGAGTAGAAAGGGAACAGAATAAAGGAAAGGAAAAAGCCACATGGACCTCTGGAAAAAAGAACAGTCTAGACAAAGGGAGAAGCATGCCTGACATGAACAGGGAACAACAATGAGGCCCATGTAATTGGACTGGCATGAACCAGAAGAGTCGTCAGGGATGAGGAATCAGTTTTTGAAGGGCCTTGCAGGCCATGTCTATGACTTTTTTCTAGTGGACAGGAATCACTTCAAAAAGACTCTGAGCAGGAGAAAGACACGGTCTAACTTAGACTTGCAAATGGCTCATCCAAATTGCTGGACAGAACATTAAGTTTAAGAAGAAAAGCAAGGAGACCCAATTGAGAGCCCACTGCAAAGCAGTGTATACAAGAGGATGGAGGGCTGCACTTAGGTGGTAGCAAGGCAAGATGAATTTAGAGTATAGTTTAAAGGTGGAGAAAACAGTTGGTATGCTGATGGCTAATATGGGGGGTTGTGAACTCTCACTGGAGCTATCGTCTCAATTAACCTGGCTAATTCATACACTCATGAGAAATATTTAAAGACAGAAGGTGTTACAGGTCAAGCCTAAACATTAGTTTTATTTGGAGCATTTTAAAGAGCATATACTGCAAACATAAATGACTTAAAGCTGGGTAATGGATTTTCCCCCTCAACAATATTCTTGAATCATCATTTTTTTTTTCCAGCTGCACATTTAAAACTGCATCGTGAACTATGAATAAAAATGTTCTACTTAGGGGTTCCTGGTGGTAAAACTCATGGAAGCGTGCAGGTGCTTCCCACCCTTTCTCCCCCAGTGACTAGGTCCTTGAGGTTTTCGCTCTCAGACTTATCCACAGTTCCTCTAAGCACTTTATCAATTATAGTTCAGGTTTTCCTACCCTGGCACTGGTTTCCACAGATTTCTATTCTGGTGACTTGTAATTCTCCGTATTCACCTCTATCTCTCCAATTTGAAGGGAGCAATTTGCCTTGGGACCTCACTTCTCTGATGGATCCAAGAGTTGTAAGCTCTTCAGTTTGTTCAGCTTTTTACTTGTTTTTATGATGAAGTGATGTCTTCCACATTCCAAGCTCCTTATATGCCAGACTGGAAACTGGATGTCTAGCACTCATTGCCATTTTCCTCATAAAGGCGTTGAACAATCTTGTTAGATGACTGCAAGGTTTATAATTTACATTGTAAATGATGTCTTTTACAAAAATATTTTTCAACCTCTGTGTCTGAATTAGATAAACAACTGAATGAATCACCTTGCTAAAGTCTCATATATTCTAATGTTTTTAAATTATCTTGCGGTTTTTTTTTTGTTTGTTTGTTTGTTTTTTTGGTCTTCGCTTCTTCTGTGTAAATAATCCTATAACCTGTGAATGATTCCATGGAAGGAATGGGTAGTTGGCTCAAAACAGCTCCCCTTTCACCCAACCAAATGTCCACATTCCAACCCCTGAAATCTGTGAAGATGTTATATGACAAAAGAGACTTTGTAGATTCAACTAAATTAAGGATCTTAAGGTTGGAAGATTTTTCCTGATTTATCCAGGTAGGTCCAACATAATGAGGGTCCTTATCAGGAGGCAAAAGGTTCAGAGTCACAGAAAGAGTTGTGGTGATCATAACAGAACAAGACGTGATGATGTGATGATGGAAGCAAAGGTTGGAACGCTGTGCTTGGAAGAAAGAAGTAGAAGCCACAAGCCAAGGAATGCAGACAGCCTCTACAAGCTGGAACGAACAGGAAATAAAATCTTCCCTACAGCTTCCAGAAGGAACACAGCCTGGGCAACACTTTGATTTGAGTCCCACAAGACTGATTTTGGACTTCCAACCTTCAGAACAGAGATAATAAATCTGTGTTGTTTTAAACACTGTCCCTCCCAAAACAGGCTCAATTTTTAAAAGCCTATAATCAACATAATTCAGTTTCAGGACGTCTTGCTGAAATAAACATATTACTTAGTGTAAGTGAATAGATAAAAATGATTTGAGAGATTCAATCAAAGTGTACTAACTCAATAACTCTGAGCAAAGCCAGGTAAGGGGGTTGATTCATCTATTTTAGTTCCCCCTACCTCCCAGGTAGCTGCAACAGCAGCTGGAGACAGTTGACATGGAGCAACCAATGGGCTCTCCATTGTACTCCTGTTTATTTATCTCAGCCCTTCCTTATGTTTCGTTTGGATTTGAGAAACCCCTGACCTAAAACGCTCTAGTTTTCGTGCTCTTCTTCTGGGAGATGTGTTATTAAGTTGTTCGTCTGAAAATAAGTTATTACCTGAAACAGGACAGGAACACTTAGAACAAAGAGGCATAAGATATACTGAAAAATTCAAACTTTTTTTGTCGCGTAAAACATGTGGCCATTGAAAGGTTCAAGAGGTATACTTTCCTTCTTCAAAATAACTTTTTTAAAGGCTAAGGAAATGTTTGCAGTGCTATATCTTTGTAGATTTTTAAAAATCTCTTCTATTTATCACATTCTAAAATACCGTGTACCTAGTTTTGAATAAACGGTCACCAAGAATAAGAATTGCTCGGTACTCTTCGTGCTGGAGTGGGTGGAAGAGGTTCCACTACAACGGCAGCGGCTACTGTAGCAGGTGCAAAGTGGAAAGAGCAATGCAGGGTGGCGGGCTGAAAGAGACTCGGAGACACAGGCGTTGGATTGGAGGACTGCTGGGGAAGGCTCACGGCGGCATCGCCCCCGCCCCCCCCGCGGCAGGGTGCGGGCCAGGGGCTACCGCCCGCCCCTTGCCCAGCTGACGCTCGCTGAGGGCGGGGCGGCCATTCACTCACCTGGTTGGTGACCTGAAATGAAGGCAGAAAACACAATTTAGGGAAACATCCCTCCAGTTCCAGAGCCCCGCTGCCCCGGATCCTCTCAGGCTAGGACTTACCTCGGACTTAGCATCCAGTCGCGGCTCGCTGCAGCCCTCCATGGCAGGGTACGAGGGCTCGGACCACCGATTGACCAGGTGGCCTGCCCCACCCCCGGCCGCCAACACTTCCGCTTCCTTCTCCGTCCCCTCGCGGCCTGGCGCACGCAGCGGAAGTGGCGGGAGCGGAAACAAACATATTTGTGTAAGTCACCCTTACTGTCAATTAAACATCAGTTTCAAGGAGATATTCATCAGTAAGGACATTTATGTGGGGAAAGGTCCGAAAGTTATGGAGATACCTTGTGAGGGGAAGGACCTATTAGCTTCAGGATACCATCTTCCCCTTCTAACCTGTAGACGTGGACTCTTCCCGTCTACGCTCCGCGGCTCACCCCCAGCGCTTTCTGCGCTCGCGCGCAGACTGGCGGCCGCCGGAGGAATTGATCCCCACCAAATTTAAAAACAGCTGGAGACCACGCCTCTTTCCCTGTAGAAGTCGCTGGGCTGGAAGATGCCCTTGGAAACTATAGTGCGATTGGCTTTTGTCCTTCGGATTGCTTCACTGGCCTAGCTGCGGGTGGGGTGGGGATGCTTTCTTTTATCACGCTGCCACTGACCAACTCCGGCTCTCAGCGTGACTACGGGATGCCTTCTCATCGGGTCTTCCTTCTTTCCCCCTCCGCATCTCACATGCCTTCTCCGCAGTATCTAAAGCGATTTTTTTTTTCTCGCCAACTTTTTATTTTGAAAAACTTGAAATTTTTTGGAGAAAAGTTGCAAAAGTAGTTCAATGAACATTCGTGTACCCTTCATCTAGATTCATCAACTTAACATTTTATCCATTTGCTTTACCTCGAGCTACCTATACGGTAATGACGGCGCTTCATCTCTAAATACTTGAGCATATAGCGCCTTAAAACAAAGACATTTCCTAAATCATCACAATACTACAACTACACTCAGGAGATTTAACATTGACAAAATACTATGATCTAACACGTGGGCCAAATTCAAATATCGCCAGTGGTCTCAATATTCTTTAGAACTGTTCCCCATGCTAACCCACCGCCAGAATCTAATTAAGAACTACCGTTGAATTTGGTTATCATTTCTGCTCCATCTCTGCCAATCTAAAACTGCACCGGCAAAATGTCCTTGGGACTGCATTGGTTCTTTGTTGGAGGCTCTCCGGGATGATCCGTTTTCCACTTGTTGCCAGAACTCAGTTATATGCAGGTCCCACTTCCTTGCTGGCTTTTGATTGTGGAGTTCTTTATGTCGGAGGACATCAGCATTCCTTGTGGTCCTCTTCATCTTCAAAACCATTAATAGCAGTTAAGTCCTCCTCAAACTTAAAATCGCTGATCTCCTCTTCTGTATCATCTCTCCTCTGCTGTCTTCTCACCAGTCTCTGAGTCCAGCTTGAGAATGTTCTGTTCTTAAGGTCTTAAATCATTATATCGAGCGTTCTCAGATAATCCAGGATAATCTCTACCTCTTAAGGTCCATAATCACAATTATATCTGCAAAACCATTGCAGAGAAGTACCCAGATTAGTACTTGATTAAATAATCAGTGGATGAAACTCTTGGGGAGAGGAGCATCTTTAAAATTCCGCCACTGAACACAACCTCACAGGATTGTTGGAGAACTACATTGTTTTAATGCATGTAAAACTTCTAGAATCATGCCTGGCATATAACACTGAGAATCTGTGCCAAAAAGCCACTGACTCGAGGTTATTGGACAAAATTAAAAGTACTAACTGGCTTGGGAACATAGTCCCTGAATTAATCCAGTGATTTCTTTCTTATGAAAGAAAGTCTGGAAAGATAGAACACTGTGATGCATCCCACTGGTATGTCAATTCCATTTGTCAGGGATTATTTCTCTGAAGCTCTTGGTTGCCATCAGATTATGCTCTCTGGCGGCATTATGCTCCATACAGGGCTGCACGCGCGCGCGTGCATACCCCCCTTAATTACATAAAAATGTTTCTGAAAGGTGAAAAGATGACATATATTAAAAAGTTAATTTTGTCTTTCTGTATCTTTCCTGCACTCCTTTTATTTTTTTTAAAAGTTTTTAAAATTTATTAATTTGACACAGAGAGAGAGAGCATGCACAAGCAGGGGAGAGTGGGAGAGTAAGAGGCAAGCTCCCCACTGAGCAGGGAGCCCAATGTGCAGCTTGATCCCAGGACTCTGGGATCATGACCTGAGCTGAAGGCCCGTGCTTAATGGAGTGAGCCACCCAGGCTCCCCTTTCATGAATTTCTTTTAGAACTGTTTTTTGTTTTTTTTCTTTAGACATTAGTGCCCCTTTTCAAAAATTGAAAAATTTGGGGAGAGTAAAATGCCTATAGTGTTTAGGCCAATGTCTGCCAGTTGTTAATCTTGTTTTGTGCTCCTGACACTTCAGTACGTGTGATCAACTGTTTACTTTTAAGACCTCCATCTTATTCAAGATCAGAACTTATGCAAGTTTCAGACTTGGAAAACACAGATTTTATGAATAGAGTCAAAAATGCTAAAATTCAAGATGTATAGCCATAACTTCTGTTTTATTTATATTTATTTTTTGTGATTACGTGTTAAGTAGAACCTATAAGTAAGAAAACATGTTTTGGAGCTCCTAGCCAAACAAACAAAACCAGCACTGACAGATGTGTAGGAGGATGTCCCCAGAACTATGGTATGAACTCTGACCTCTGTATGTGTAATGGAGAAAAGAAAACTGATACACATGAAGCAAGCAGTACTTCAATCGAAGCTTTTATTTTAGGGCTTTTCCATGCCAAAAGACATTAACCCAGCTCAAACTAGCCTGAGCAAAATAGCAAAATCATCCTGTCACAGGGTGACCTCTGAAATGCAGGGGTGGAGCCAAGTGCAGGGATCTCACAGAATTCTGAGATTTTAATAGCAAAAGGGCCCAATCTCTGTTTCTCAGCTGTGTTCTGACTCAGTTTGTCTGTCTGTTGGCTTATTCTCTTGGGTTTCTCCCTATGTTGTAGAAGAGAGTATCTGCCCATAGATATATGACTGCTAGCACTGCTGAGGTCATAGCCTGTGGCTCATGATCCAAAGGGAAAGAGGAAGCTGCTCTTCTGTCTCAATTTTTTTAAAAAGATTTTATTTTATTTTAGAGTGAGAGCACACATGCACACATGTGCAAGGGAGGGGGTGCAAGTCACACCAAGGAGGAGGGAAAAGCAGTGGGGAAAGAATCTGCAGCACACAGACTCCCACACTGGGCTCAATCTCACAACCC